TATATATCGAGGAGTTCTCGCCCATGAAATTGTAGGAGATACTGTGCGGGCAAAAATTCTGTGTAATTCATTCCCCAATGCAATTTGGAGTCATATTGAACGTGTGTCGGTAGGCAGCGCGTCCTATTTAACAACGAGTCACGGGATAAATAAAAGTTGGTCAATTTGGGGGAAGAGGTTGTCGAAGTTATATTCAAGCTGTGAAAAACGCAAGGACACGACTGTGATTGTAGATTAGAATTTGTTTAACATGCATCGTAGTAATACTTTTCGCAAAATATAATGTCAGGAGTGTAAATAAAGTGATTGAATTGAATGTGAAATTGGGATTGTTAAATCTAAACACAGCTGGAAATTTTGGGTGTCTCTATTAACCATTGAGGAACATTGTGAGCCTCACCGACCTTGCGAGATCGAGGCCAGTGTGAGAGGATTCATAGGATGTGTACCCGACCAGGCTGTGCGACGGATTGTCTTATACAGCCTGATCACCTATCCATACAAAACCTATCACCTGCTGCGCAGATCTAGAGAATAACTCTGTATATCTCAAATAAAACTATTCTATTACCCTTTGACTTGCCTTGTTTAAAATATGAACTGTTAACTCACAGTTGTCCTGCTTCTAACACTAAGAAGCATCGTCTTAAGGGCATAATAGTCTCATTGATTAGTCAATTTTAACGAATACTAGGAAGTAACTGCACATTGTGTAGTTTAATAAGTACATACCCTTATAGCCAAACGCGTATTAGTTATGTCCAATATCATGCTAGTTACAAAGAAACCTGTCGAATTGAAAATCCGTAAATCTGGTAATGCTGGATGGCCAACGCTAAATTGCTTGCCAAGCAATATAAGGCGGCTCGATTTCGGGTTCGGTGACGGTCACATGTTGGCTACGGGTGCTTTAAGCGAAGAATTGTTTTGTCCGCGGGATGCTTATAACGACTGAATGAGCTACGTAGAATGTAATCTCTGGGTGTATTCTCGGTATTGAGGCAGCAAGACTAAATAACGCGTGGGTACTAATGAAGCAGGTAACCCACATGTCCCTCAATTTTAAGCACAGCTGTATTCGTTGTGAAGCGAATATACGTAATGCGAGTAAAGGTTTGGCCGTCTGCTTTCATGTTTAGTCTGTGGGTGGTGTAGTGCCAGCGATCCCCGCATAGTGTGGCCCCAAACACAGCCTCACTTCACTTATCGCACGTAGAGCGCCCGTGATTCGTACGTGGATCTTTTAGCGTTCATTACAATCAGAGCTAGCATAGGGCCTCTCCGTCCTGTTACGTATAGCAGTTACGGCACTGTATTATCGTTAATGCTAGCGTGCCAGCTGAGCGGCAGCATGCCAGCGAAGCAAAGAGCTTGCAATAGCTGGTTTGCAACGGTTTAATAGCTTGGAGATAATCTCCAGTGCGCAGAGATACTGCAGAACGTAATAACACGGACGGCTGCGTGACAAGGTAAAAATGACAAGGTAAAATGACAAGGTAAGTGATTATAACGTTTTATCTGGGGCTGTCCGTTTATAGATAGTCCGTGGTGTCAGTTTTCGTTCAGTGTGTTCTGGCACCATTTACGTGTTTCCGCCTTTCATAATGTAATAAACCACCACAATTACCCACCAGCAATTATAAGACCACAATGCACCCTCCACAATTAAGAACCACAATGTAAGGATGAAATCACTGATGATAGGGCAAATTGGGTACGGCAGAGTATGCCGTGCGATAAATGTCGGCGTGCACTCTAAGATCTGTATCACACACGCGCTTCGCGCACGCCTTTTTGAAAGTGGGGCGCAATCGATTTTTTGACTGCGATTTCAATTCGAAGCATTTCTTAGTAAACTAGCAGTGATATTGGACAAACTAATACGACGTTTGGCTATAGGTAATGTACTTATAAACTCAAGAGGCCAGTTACCTAGCCATGTTCGTTAAATATTGCATAATCAATGGACCTATTAATGGCCTTTAATTCAAGGTATACTAATGCTGCTAATTACTTCATCAGCATATGAAACTTTCCAATCAGCTTTACCCCGCCATGTTTGCGATCACGGAAACGCCAAACGGAAAGAGCTCGCTAGAATACTACAGAAATAGTACGATGGCTCTCACGGCAATTACAACACACAGAAATGAAAACGCATGTCAACGGTAAACGGTCTGGGCCATTTGTTAAAAAACCTTAGCATGACATGTTCTCGGCATGTTGGGGTGGTTGTAATGAGGACTCGGCAGATCGTTTAATTTTTCGGCTTGTTCATCCATTGTGCGGACTTTTAGTCACAGTCGGAAATGATAGCAAACATGCGGCGAATCATAAATTTGGTTGCATTCGTCTGCAAAAAGTCGCTGTAGCACCCCCGTAAGTACACAGCGCATGCGTAGCGCACTGATGGTTACAAGAAGGTGGAGTATAGTCGGATTACTGATTCATTTGGTATAATGCAACATGTGTAGTGTTCTTTGGCGATACTTGGCAAATAGAGGCCCCTACGTGCTTTTAGCTGGCAGCAGAGGTATTGAAACGGTATTACTGAACCCAGCCTGAAGAAGGGTTCTATGTCGCCGCTCGGGGTAAAGCTGGAACGTCCCCTGGGTACGGTGCCGGTATACCGGAAGCGTACCCTGGTAACTATCTAATATGCCGAACCGTACGTCGCTCTAGACTCCACGCTACAAAGAGTCTAGGGAGTCGCTAAACATCTACTCCCTAAGCCCGAAGGCGAAGCCTGGTTACACAATGGCGCACCGCTACGCGCATGTGCTGAGATTTTCGCGTTGTTACCGGCTTAGTCAGCCTACTTACAAAAAATGTTTTTTTGCGCAGGTTTAACTAGCCTATAAAATTATTTATAATTAGTGGCTAGTATAATATAGATATAAACTTAAGCTCGCAGACATCAAGAAACAACACCGGAATCTATCACGCCGGATGTATCAATCAAACACCAACTTTCAGACATAAACACAACTTCAGCAACACACGGCGTCAAACGGCCCTTTGGCGAGATTGCAACTTAAAAACATTACCGCCAGTCCTAAAAACTGCCCAAAATAACGTTCCAAACAACAAGTCAACTGTATTGTATAAATTGATGTCATCTACTAGCTGGGTACTACTAGTGACGGCTATTGAATTGGCTAAGGGCGTATAGCCGCCTGCCATCTATAGGAGAACATAAGTAAACGTTCCAAATAATTTTTTTTTTTTACATTTTTTTTCTGCCGACGAGTATACTCCGGTGTTCTCGTGTCGTGCGTTGCAGGTCGACGAGTTATACTCGTGTTTCCGGCGTGAAGCGTGTTAAAAGGGATTACCCTGATTCCTAGCTACTATAGTATAAGTGCATAGTATAGATATATTACTGATAACTAACTAAAGTGAAGCTCAATAGGTGCTATGCTACCCAGGGTACTGGGCCAACGTACCCTGCGGACCGGCGTCGGGTATAGCGGAACGTCCCGTGGTCACTTATTTGATATATGGTTAGGTAGGATTTAGAGTTAGGGTTAGGGATAGGGTTAGGATTAGGGTTCGGGTTCGGGTTAGGGAGTAGGCGTAGGCGACTCCCTACGACTCGTTAGTGGAGTAGGCGAGATACGGTCCGGCATATTAGATAGTACCAGGGTACGTTTCGGTATACCGGACCGTACCCAGGGTACGTTCCGGCTGTACCCCGGGGGACATAGACCCTCTCAGCCTAAGTGAAGTGTCTGACTCTTGAGTCTTAGTCTGTAGGCCTATACTGTAACTATACACAACAAACATAAATATTAATATTGACATTATTGTTATGATAAAATAACACTATTGACTAACAGTAACAGCGAGTTTCCAACTATAATAATATTCGAGAAACCGACTAAACGCAACACTCAACATGAAAGCCGAGATAAAAACCTACTTGTTTTAATTTCGCACTTATTTCTTCTTTAATAAAAATTTCATTCAGCTGTAACACTTTTCTTGTTGTCCTGGAGTCCGCCATATTCGAGGCGGGCGACGCCAGCGCCGTGGACTTTACTTGGTGCATTTTTTTTAGAGGGGGCGCCACACACTATACATATAACTATATAATTATATGCACTATACTTACTTATATTATATTACTTATATAATATACTATATAATTATATACACTATATATTAGTGTTCTATTGTATCTGGGGCGAGAGATGGGGATCGAAGCCTGGGTCGATGGGGGAGAAGGGTGCCAAATAAAGTGATGCCAAATAATGGTATTTATAGTAGCTTCTACACAAGTAGTAGTACAATGGCATGAATACACATAACTATTAATTGTTATTATTACTGCAATTAAATTTGGAAGTTTTTCATCCAATTAACTAAAAATTAATAATTAATTCGGACAACAACTCACAGTTTATACTGCAATCAACAACGCAAGTTCATAATAATAATGAATTTCTTATGAGTGTCAAAATGGTATTTGCACTTTGCTTGTAAAGACTCTATACTGAAGTTTTTTTTCTGGTACCATCTATTTTTTCTTCATGTCGTCTTTCACTATACTTGTACAGACTTTGCTGAAGGTTTTTTTCTTGGTTTCAATTTTTTCTTTATGTTGTATGCACTGTATCACTCAGAAAATTTATCATTTTAACTATACTCAACACTTGCATTTATCAGTATGTCCATATTTATATAAATATAAGTGTGTATATATATGTGTGCGTTAGTTTGTGTAATATGTATATAATGGTGTACGTATGAGTGGAAAAATGACGTTAAGGTGTACCTTAATCACTTGTATAGACTCTGCTGACGTTTTTTTTTTGTATATATTTGTTCTTCATGTTGTATAGCATCGTAATTGTGCGGTACTGTATCCGTCAGAAATTTTATCATTTTAACTACTCAACACTATTGCTTTTATCAGATTTTTTCTCCATGAAAAAAACTGTCGTCAGTACATGTATTTGTATCTGAATTCATGCAATAAAGATTTAATAATATAATAATAATATAAATGCATGGATATATTTATTTAACAAATCATACACGCAACAAAGGGTCATACAATTTTAATCTAATGAGTAATTCTCATGTCAAATGGCTTTAAAGATAACATTAAATTTAATGACATTTTATTTTATTTACTAACCATGGAAATTAATACATGTATAAACTTATCAATTATTATGTCGCAGTGGAAAATCTTTTGCTATTTAATATGCTAGATAAAAGGATGAAGTAATTTTAAATGGCAAATTCAATATTTCTCCTTTTCACAATGTCTTTCTTATTTCATTCTTTAAATTTTTCAATATGAACACAAGCAACTAATGTGCTCAAAACTATCTTCAGATGCAGTGTGATTATCAAAAATTACATAAGTTACAATAACAACCAAATACAAACGAGATCTCTAACATGCACGCAAGCTTCGATCTTTATATAGATGGAATTCGGCACACATTTAGCTAAAACAATGTAAAAAGCACCAATCAACGGTGAAATGAATATAACAGTAACGGCCGTCATCACAACTGGTCTGCAACACACACGGTAGGTATACAGTCGGTATTTGCAAACAAACTGCGTGCTGTGATCGTGTGCTGGTTACACAGGTCTCGCGATGGGCTTTGGCGTGGGAACACCTAACATCTCACACAGCTCGTTCCTGGTGTTCCTCACAATGTTGATAGGGTCGTCCCTGCGACAATAAACATCCAGACATAGCATTGGTTAGAACACAATATAACATAGATTATATAAATTTATACATATATATATAGATATCAGAAGTAGATAATAGGGAAGGAGTACGTGTGACTTCAATAAACAAGGGAAATTCGTCATTTACTAGCCTTAGAATACCTACGATTTACTACGCATTACTCAACCAACTTGAGCTCAAATCGTACACAGTACATTCGCCTAGCATTGTGCGAAATCGTTACCTCGTATACACCCGCAATCCGGAGATCTATACAGACTAAAACGTACAACACGATTTTCCATTCTGTTGCCAGCAAACTCGATGTGTTAACCGCCTAACTCGAAACAAAAAGCAGCTACTAACGACTGTTGCACTCTCGGCAATGCGGTGTGGCTCGCTGAGCTAACCTTTGACCTATTTACAGCTGCCTTTTGTTTCGAGTTAGGCGGTTAACACGACGGCGACACGACACTTACCACTTTGTTTCGCTGAGAATCGTCAGGACGTCATCGAGCCGATCCTCCGCCACGACGTCATCAAACGTGACGAGCGCCTCGTAAAACTTGCCAGCCGTCGTTTTGCGCACCTGTGAGCGAGAGAACAGAGATATGGTGAGCCGCAGACGACACCGCGATCACAGCGCCATCTAGTTTGATAACTGAATAACTTTCTATTTTTTTTCTTCTTTTTTTTCTTTTCTAGATCGCACCTTCTAAGACTACTATTGATCTTATAGGATCATCCACAGTGAAACAAATTGGAGTATTTCAGTATATAAACTGCCTGTTAAACTATGCGGTTTGCGGTGAGAGTTGTGGAATGCGTTCGTGGAGTATATATTACTCGGTTTATATGACTACGACTCGCAAGTAAAATTGCCAAAAAAAAATTGAAAATAAAACATTTTTCTAATATGCACTAGCACGTGACATGGTCAATTAAAACATTGGCATGAACGTGAGCATCATGTGACCACGCGTCGCTGGTGACGTCATCGTCACACGACCACGCGTCACTGGTGACGTCATCATCACGTGACCACGCGTCGCTGGTGACGTCATCATCACGTGACCACGCATCGCTGGTGACGTCATCATCACACGACCATATGTCGCTGGTGACGTCATCGTCACGTGTGTCTGGATATACGCACCCTGGGGTATTTATGGCAGAGAAAGATGATCAGTTGGAAGAGAGCGCCTCTCCTGACCTTCCCTGCAAACTGTAGCAGCCCACAGAACCTGAAGCAATAATGCAAATTACCAGTACGTTGAGTACGCGTATGTGTAATTAATAGCGATAGTGATTGCATTGAGAATGGGAAGCACTACCAAAAACTACTGCTTCTAGAGTTGGCTACAAACCAATTATAAAATTGATTATTTTTATTTTTATTGATTGGTTATTGATTGATTATTATTACATAGATGAGACGTGTGTCACCTTAATTCTCATCGCTGTCAACTGCCTTTTAATCCGTACGTCTTATCCGATCTTTTATAAATATTAACAGATTTAAATACAAACGACATTTGTTTGTATTGTATTGCCTTGTATCATATAGTATGGTCTCTGCTATGGTATTGGTATGGTATTGGTATGCTATTGGCATTGATATTGGTATGGTAATAATAGTATGGTATTGGTCGTATAGTATAGTATAGTATAGTATAGTATAGTATAGTATAGTATAGTATAGTATAGTATAGTATAGTATAGTATAGTATAGTATAGTATAGTATAGTATAGTATAGTATAGTATAGTATAGTATAGTATAGTATAGTATAGTATAGTATAGTATAGTATAGTATAGTATAGTATAGTATAGTATAGTCTCTGCTATGGTAATAATAGTATGGTATTGGTCGTATAGTATAGTATAGTATGGTCGTATAGTATAGTATAGTATGGTCGTATAGTATAGTATATGTATAGTATCATATTGTCAGGAGTGAATAATAATAGATTCTAATAAATATAAAAATAAAATAATAAATAATAACAATAATAGAAAATAAAAATAATAAATAATAATAATAATAGATCTATTATTATTCACTCCTGATATTGTATAGTATAGTATATGTATAGTATTGTCTTGTATGGTACTGTTTGATGCGATATATAATACATACACGTCGGCACACGACATGAGCTTCTGCGGGTCGCCGCACTTGTTGATCTCTCGTGTACAGAGGGCGCTAAGAGGCAGCAGGAAGCTGGCGTCGTCGTGCCCCGCCAGCGTGCTCAGACAGCCGTTAATCAGCATCTGATCCAGCATCTTCAGCATCGGCAGAGTCACTCTGCAGAGGGAAGCGGAGGGGAGAGTGGTTACCACGGCAACCATGATATATGCACAGTGCTAGTATGGGCAGAGTCACTCTATTGAAGGAAGCGAGGGCAGCGTGGTTACCATGGCAACCATGATATACGCTCAGTACCAGTGAGGGCAGTTGCTATCGCCGTCGTCATCATCAGCACCACCACCATCACCAACATCATCATCGGCGTCATCGCCGCCGCCGTCGCCACCGTCATCGTCATCTCATCACTGCAGCCGCCGCTGCCGCTGTCGTTGTCATGGTTACCTTGATTTTCTCTGGTGATTGCCGAAGATGGCGAGTAGTGTGGCACAGAGCTCACAGAGGGCGCTGTGATCGGCCGCGGCGAGGTCGTTCACGAACGCGAAGAACGCGGCGGAGGAATGCTTCACCTGCAGGGGAGGGAGAGAAGCCATCGCTGGCATCACCGACGTTGTTTAGCAGGTGGGCCGACACATAGCATGGGAACCCACGAACACGTACATATGCACGTGCGCACTAACACGCACGCACACACGCAC